TTGACCCTTGACCTTTCGGTCCCAAATGCAATAGGCTTCTTAGGATTACCAAGAACAATACACGAACCAAATTTGAAGTTCATATGTTTAAGTATTTCTCAAGTTATCCCGCTGACAAGATTTGTCCGGACACACACACACACCCAGGTTTACGTTACATACCTTGTGTGGACATTCCTTTGTTTTCGTGTAGTTAAGAAAACTCGGTACAAAAAATAACTTTACTTAAACTGTGAAAACTCTTTCAACCCATTTTTTTTCTGTGATTCCCTATAGTGTTTCTCTTCATTCTGCTACGGATAAACCTAACCCAAAAAATGCCTCTAAACCTGTTTTCCAGAATGGGCAAAACGTTTTTTGCACTCCCCTTTTTGAAAAATCAAGCTCCGCCCCCCAAATGGGCAAGATCCAAGATGCGTTCACCTCAAAAAATTATGTTCGCCCATTTCAATTGGACATGCCAATTTTCAGAATTTTACCACCAAACTGAATGACGTTTTCCATATTAGAACCAAACTGCTAATATATACCGCCTCTTTTACCATTTAGACCACGCCCACAAAATGGGTGGAAGATAACTGGTGTTAGAATGCTAGAATGTCTTATTTCATGTTTAAGTTAATTTCAAAGCGTAAAAAAACAAGGAAATTTGATGTTAAATACAGTTTTCCTGAGTTTGTATTGTTTGCACCCCCTTTTTTGAAAAATCAAGCTCCGCCCCCAAAATGGGCAAGATCCAGGATGGGTCCCGATCTTAAAATGATTTTTAGCCCATTTTGACCACACATGCCAAATTTCATGCTTTTACCACAAAGTGCACGATTTTTCGCTTAGCAGCTCCACTATTATTCCTATTTATTAATCAGTCACTTACTTCATCGAGATTCGAACCTCGGACTCTTTTTTCCAACAATACACTTTTTAACCACAAGGCCATGCTCTTGTCTACCCCTCTTACCTGAGACAATCAAGCCGAAATCTTCGTCCGCTCCTTCAAACGGGTCCCGGCAGTTTCCAATATCAAATGAAACTAACAAAATTGACTTTACTTGCAACAAAAGAAAAAACCGCAGCTCCTATAAAGTGTACATTTTGAGCTCCGGCCAGTCATCTTTTGTAGACTCCTAGCATGATGCTTCATGCATTATCAAACCTCTACCATTCCACAAACACTGCTGACGACAAACAATTCCTCGTCACTGATCAGGGGGTGCGTAAGGCATCTGCATTTGCTGAAATACTGGTCAACACTCTTTGTTGCGTTGCAGTTGGAGTGACTTGGAGTAAACCGAGCAGGGTACATTGTGAGTTTTAGTTTCTTAAGTGTTTGTACAGTTGTTGCTTGAAGGGTAGTTTGCCAGTGAAAGTTAGCGAAAGTTGATAATAAGCAGGACAAGTTCTTTTCAAAACTAAATATCTTCTAAGCAGTAGTATTACCACATGGTGTTACCGCAAACCGAAACGATACCGATACTCCACCATGCAAAGCCTCAAATCTGAATATATTGTTGAAGACGTTGTGGCGGTGCTCCTTTCTTCTCAGGGCCGAGTAGCATCTTTCCCGTCTGTCCCAATTACAGACTATATGGTGCAAAAATCTCCGGCTCTGAAATAACAACTACCACCATGAGCATCCTCAGACGATGGCAACGATGGTACAGGACTCCATTTTGTCCACGTCCAATTACACTCAGCAATCTGCGTCTAAGCCTAAAGGAAAGAAAAGACTCCATATTCTGAAGAAACTACTCTCCACGTTCCTGAGTGACTCTTCTGGGACTCCGGATCAGGAGTGATCTCTTCTTTGACTCTGGATCCGGAGCGACTCTCCTGACACTCCGGATCCGGAGCAACTCCCGGCTCTCAAACTTCTTGTCTTGAAGGAGCGTCGGCGCTCTGGTTTCTGAATCCGGATTCTGGAGTAACCCTGTCCACTCACTATTCCGGAGCACATCTCTGTGAACCGGGGCTTCCGGAGTGGCTTTCTGATCCGGAGCTTCTCTCCTGATCCAGAGCTTCCGGAACGGCTTTTCCGCACTGTGCTACTTGTGCAGGAAACGGCTCAGTCAAACCACTACAAAGTACTGCAAAACCGGGCAACCCTGAAGGCTCGTCTGCATGGCTCAGTCAAACCACTGCCATGTTCTGCTACGTAGACCTCCCCTCTTGTCGCACAACGGCTCGGTCAAACCACTGCAGCATTGGAGTCTGTTGCCCCGTGAGTGCTGAAACATTCACTGCCATATACTAGCAACCAACCTACTTGGTAATTTCATAATAGCCAAAAAATCCCACCGCTGCCACCAATGTAACAAGTCGTCACGATCTATGGGCTTAGTTTGGGACGACTTGGCTAGCCTTAAATTAACATGAACAGAGACAAGACAAATAAAATAAGACACACAACTAAGACAAATAAACAAAATGTGACACGGACACCAAGGATGGAGTACTGATTCTGTTCCGATTCTTTTCTTGATTTCTCCTTCTTTCGTCAATCCAACACTTGCATTATAATTGTTGCATTAATTTAACTGGATTTGTCTATGTGATCGCACATACGTCCTCACTCCACAAGCTTCGGTTCAAAACTAGTACTTGGAGACCGTGGGAACACATGCAAGACATCTCAGGAAAGACGCGCAGTCGTGCCTGGGTCACCAGGTACTCCGAAAGCTTGAGATTTAGTTATAGCGCGCTGACTGTGAAAATGGAGACTAGTACCAGACATGCTAGATATTGGCACAGTTGATTGATGCAGTACTGAAGAGTTCTTGGACTGGTTGTTTCAGGTGCCAGTCTATTTTCTTGTATGTTGATTTGTTTTTATTGACGTAGGCTATCACAGCAGTATCTCACACGAGGTGATAGCTAGGACGCCCATGCTTAAGGTGTCCTACTGTGTTAGGGGCACGTAGGAACATTTGCAATAAAAGCCGCTGTGCTGATGACGTCACACTTTGTTTACTTGTGCGCTTTTTTATGGTGCTATGAAACCCTCATCCCAGGCTCCCATAAGAAAGCATGTACATGTAAACAAAGTGTGACGTCATCAGTACAGGGGCTTAGTACTCGTTCTTTATGCGCATTAGCAATGAAATCCAGTTAGGAGACCCCAAAATTATGCACACGTTTTCTCTGTGTTATCAAAATGTATAGCGACTGTACCCACTGAGCTGAAACTTCAATAAGTTATGCACCCTTCTTCAGATTCTGAGCAATTTGGTTGCTTCAAAGGAAGAAAACACCCCAAGAAACAAATGATCCTAAGTAACGTTAAACCATAACCAGACACGCATGACCAATTTGGACATAACTTGCTTTAATTAAACATGGAGGCTAACTTTGTATTTTGGGGACTTTTCATACTCTGCAATTTATTTAAAATGCAAATCATTGTGCAGCAATTTCATTGTACTAACCAAGAAATACAAGCTTATTTGCAATAAGTAATAAATACACTGTCAGTTAAGATAATAATTTAATATGTTCAGTAAAACACAAAAATATAATGCACTTCAAAATTGTATTTGCATTAAAATAACGAGTACAACTTCCTATCTTCATCCCAAATTAACCCTTCTGCATTTTCGGTGAAACTTGGAAAAATGGTAAATGTTGCAATCAAATGTAAACCTCAGAAGTTGTGAACTGCACGTAGGATGCAGGCTGAATGATTTTATAGATTATGTCGTGTAAATGATTTTGTGAAACTTCATTGGTTGAAAACGAGTCACATAGCACCTAACAGAAGTTCACCTTTCAACCGAAACCTTTTTGCAAATTTGCAAAACTTTGAACATATTTCCAACTCAACAAATTTCTGATGTCATATTCACTTCACATGATGTTTGAAGCGACCTTTACTTTTCCAATATACAAATAATATGGTATAAAAAAAATGGTGCTTTGTTTCATGGGTTTCTGACACGCGGGGGCAAATGCCAAATCAGGCTTCATTTGTAGAAATGTTCTTGAAGGGATTTTTTTAACATCATATTTAGAATAGAAGTGGCATCAAAATAAAAGCACAAAATTACATACATTTGCATATTTCTTGTACAAAAAACAACCTTATAAATAATCCTGGGATATTTACCTCACCAAATCTCAGTAAATCAGGTTTTTAAAGTATTTTGCTTTAATTATTACATGAACCATTGGTGTAGGTCAATTTCTAAAAAATAAATTTTCACTTAATACTTAAGTACTTTTCTTAGAATCTGTCTAGTTATAGTACAATATACAGGACACTACTTTCAATGAGCTATACACGCACTGATATACACTACATACTCTATGTACAAAAGATAATTTACAAGCCGGTCTTTCTTCCATTTTCAAGAAAGATTCATCAAGGTAATAACAGTACAATGTGTAATTTTTAAAAGAAAACGTACGATAAAAGCCTGAATACAGAATCTGCATTGATTTTTTTAAACAAACTTAAGAACAGACGTTGCACGTCTCCTTTAATCGGTTTCTTAACACAAGCACCATGCAAATCACTGGATCTTCGGGAAAACCTCTGGAAAAAAGGTTAGTAATATACTAGTAATTATTAAGGGAATAAATGTGAGTTTGGCATTGGGGCCTGGAGACTGATAGTGGCTCGTGGTTAAGGCGAGGGACATTATTGGCGACCAGGCCCAAGCCGGTTTTAAATGTACTTGTTTAAAAGGTAGAGTAGATCATTTGCAGCTATCCAAAAAGTAACTGACAAAATTATTGTTGAAAAGCATACTTGCTTTAAAGATAGCAATGGCACCAAACTCCCTATGAAATTATTCTTTCTGACATGCTGTCATTTTGAAGAAAACAATAAAAGAAGGCAATTTTTAAAGATGTGTCTAATGACACATTTTTGGAAATTTCCGTGAGTAGTTCGTTTTCAATTCGGCGAACCGTGAATGGGTGCGTGGAAGTGTTGCTATTATTCGTCAGTTCAGTGCATGACATCATGTAGATGCAATCAGCTGAATGAGAACGTGTCCCGGACGCTAATTTCGGGCACAATTCAAAAGATGACTCGGCAACTTTTGAATTGAAACCGAGATCCTACAAAACCTGCCCTGACGTCACAAATTCGCATTCTCTTTCGCACCGGCCTTGACAAAGATGAATCCAGGCACGTGCTCACTTAACACGCATGAGGCCCCCTTCAATGGAGAAACCATTGTGCATGCTATTGTACAAAGCAACTGTCCCGTGATGGATTATCTGGACAATAGCTAGCACAATGCTTTTGCCATTGAAGGGGGCCTTCGTGATAGAATTGATAGCATGCCCGGGTTGGTCTACAAACTCTCAGTCTGTTCCTGCTAATCACACACCGGGCCCTATGGGTTCAATCTTCTCGGCCATGACGCCGAGAATCTTTTGGAATTTCTGGTAGCGCTCGGCCGTGCCTGCCGTGGCCCCTTTGCTGCCCCACAGCATCCTCATTTGAAACTCCGGCCGGCATGCGTCAAGCAGAGCCTGGTCCGGCAGGAACTTGGTCAGCTTTGTGTTGGCGTTGATGCGGTAGAGGTTAGTCTGCTGGCAGAAGGTGTGGGCGTTCTGCAGGTGGTTCAGCAGGGCGTCCAGCCCGAACCCCGTGGAGGATTCCTCCCACGACTCGCCCCGCGGCAGGCCCTCCAGGGTGTCTTTACTGGCCGGCGTGGACCAGTCCGTGGCAGTCAACGTCGTCCAGTCTCTCTCCAGGAGCTGTATGACGGGCACGATGTGAGGGACGCTGGTCTTGGTCAGCGGGAGGGCGTTCTCCCCGCTGTTGAGGGACTTGAGTAACGAGCGCAGCTTGGTCTCGTAGTTGACGGCACTGCTGGTGTGCATAGAGCGCAGGAGTTCCCATGACTTCTTCAGCTGCGTCAACTGCAAGTTTCAATAGAGAGTGGATTGAAATTAAATGATAACACTACATGTAAATCTGACTCAATATTATAAATGAACCACAGGGGAGAAAAGGCAGTACACAGCTAAAAGTGTACATGTTTCACAAGGACACCCTATACAAAGAGCCCCAGTTACACTAAAGTGGCAAAGGCTTCGATGTTGGGAAAACCAAATTCAAACAATTTTTCTGTTGCTTAACCCTAAAAGGAATCCGCCCCCCCCTCCAACTTTTTTCGTGATAGCCTTGAAATTTTTCTTTTCGCGACCCGAGCTGTTATGACTTTTTAGCATCGAGCCATGCGCATCTTTTGATAACTAAAACATAAAAATCTGACCACGGGTTGCTGCGCAGCAAAAAAAATTTTCCAACGCTAAGCGCCGTGAAAACTGAACTTTCCCATATACGTCATGTACACAGAGCAGAATTACCATTCGTACATATGAATAATCAATTAATAATCAACCCTTTGACCTATAGTCATGAAATTTCTTGGGGATGTTCATGATGAGATTCTCTATGCATGTACCAAGTTTCAGAATCCCCCCCCCCCCCCCCCAGCTGAAAGATGATCAAAACCCGGCCCTTTAAGGGTTAACCCTTCTTAGTGTTATAACCAAATGTGAAAATTTGTTTATACGCCCAAATGATAAAACTTCTTGTATAATGGAATTTTGGGTCAGGGAGACGTAAATATACTATTGGGCTTTGCATTCATGAAATAACGTTGGTGAAAAGGGCAAAACCCGATTATTAAAACAAAAACCACCCCAAAAAAGGAATCAATAGTAACCGGAACGATAACATTACCTGTTTGCAGCCCAGGCCGTCCATGACTGCAGTAAAGCTGAAGAGGTTTCCCAGGGATCCACGCAGGGCTTCAGCGACCTGTATCCACTGATGCAGCATGCGGATCCGCTGCTCTGGTTCAGTGCATGTCAGCACACAGACCCCGCACCACGTCTTCAGGCAGTTGTATCTGTTGAATAATATTTCAAACAGGATTTTTGTCAATAATAATATTAATAATAATATTCTTATATAGCGCCAAATCCTTCAAATTGACGTTCAAGGTGCTTTACAATCATTAACAAAAAAACAAAAAACCAAAAAAACAACAAAAAAAATGATGGGAAAATAGCCTTAACTTTTCACAGGGAATGTTAACGTGAGAATGAAAAATTTCTAATGGCAAACTTTGTGAGACTGCTTCTGGTAAATTTGACTTTAATTTTTTTCTCTCTCAGATATTTTTTTCTCTTCTTTTGAGAAGTCAGATTAGCCCCAATTTCTAGTGGGGTAATTGGCAAAAAATTCCACTGGTCTTCTTGTGTTTTTGATATATCAATTCTTGTCCCTCTCCTCTGTGCCAATAGGGAAATGACGAACATGAGAACTGACAAGAATGCAAGCAAGCTTTACAGTATAAGCCGCACCGGCGTATAAGCCGCACTGATCGACCGCAGCGGTTTCAATTTTGTAAGACCACCAAATTCTAGTCAAAATGCTCCGATACTCTTACAAACAAATATGGAAATTGATGTTGAGAAATATAAACACTGGGAATTGCTGCCGGCTGGCCCCTCTGGTCCCCGGCCTAAAACTTAGTGCATGGCCCAGTAGCCTGCGCCGGCGAATGAGAGAGTATGCAACCCACCCATGTGTTGTCTGAGTGGAGCGCTACAAATCTTGCTTTGTCCTAAGAATAAAAGGTCCGTTTTTACAACAAAACTTATCAAATTGTTGTGATTACTAATGAGTAGTAACGTCAAAAATGCAAGTTTCGATCGTAACTTTCTTCAAAAACAGTCAGCACGATGCCGACATTTTTACGGACGTATCCATTAATTTCCTAAGTGGTGATTTAGCCCCTGTTTTGAGTTTTACATCGTTTCTTGAATACATTTCAAGGAAAAAATATATTGTGACGTTGAACAACTGATTATCAAATAAAGAAATGTTTTAAACTCCATAATAAGTATTAGGTGTCTTTTTCTTTCTTTTTTTAAACAGCTAAAAATATTGGTTATTATTGTTCCCAAGAAAGTACACCCCTTTATAACCACAAACAGTGTGGTCCATTGGAAATGCATGCAGCATGACATGCAGCAGTATCACGTACAGCCGGTTGTCGAAGACAGCTTTCACTCACGCATGGCCGGCCAGCCTGTCGTACTTTTTACCGCTCGGTATATTTTCGTGGGACGTGCTTTTGGTTTGTTAATGACTTAATCTTAATTGACAATTCATTTCAGCAACAGATGTTTTCTTGTACCAGCACATTAAATACACATTTGAATATCATTTTTATTCTTCAAGGCTCTCGCATATAAGCCGCCCTGTGTATATAAGCCGCAGTAAACATTTTCATGGGCAAATTCAACGTATAAGCCGGGGCTTATATTCCAAAAAATTACGGTAGTTGTGAACACTGGTTCCTTGTGAATTTGCTGCAGGGTTGGAAGGTGGTGGCCGTTTTCATGTCAAGCTTGAGGTGCAAATCTGTCAGTATTTATCAATACTCTGTGACGGTAGTACAAACCTTTCCAGAAGATCTTGCCTGATCTGCACTCCCTGGGGTAGCGTGATGACCTCTAGGCCCGGCTGCCTGCTTGAAGTGTCTGTGATCCGACACATCTGAAGAAACAAAACCAGAAAATACTATATATTTCTGATTTACTTACTGATTTGCAAGATGAGAAAAATATTTGTCGGTGAAGGGCAAAACCCAATATAGAATTTAAATCACCCAACGCAAATTCCATCTAGTTTCATTGCGGTACCCGCTGCTAGATCTGATTCGAACCAGTCATCCGACCCCGGCAAGCTCGGTGGTCAAGTGGTAAGACGTCTGCGCTAGAAAGCAGGAGGTCGCGGGTTCGAGTCCCACCAAAAAAAAATTCTCACAACCACTCGGGACAACACTGAGTATACAGTGTTTATAAAATAAGTCGGTGAAGGGCAAAACCCGATATTGAGATAATGTTCGCATGGTGTATACTTAGCCAGCAGTTATTTACTCCTAGTAAAATCTGGCAAACTGTTAAGATTTGGAATCATATCCAGCATATCTAAACTGAATATCCAAAAGCTTGGAAAGCTAGGAAAAGTTTGTACACATCTTGGTTGATACTCTGACAGTTTTCATTTTCAATGTCTTAATTTTGACCCATAAAATTTAAAGAGGCTTTGGAACTTTGTATGGCGGTAGTGTAAACTAGTGAGGGTTTGCAATATCACCAATTGGGAACAATCTCTTTTAAGAAGATGTTTGGTTCTGAAACGAACCGGTTGGTTGTCCAGAAAATTTAGATTTTGATTTTTAAACAAGATAGTAAATGACAATTACGATTGACTTTTTTTTCCATCGGGTACATTTGGGAAAATTTTTTTCCCCCAAATGGACCAGATTATCTTTTTTGCAATAACAGAATCTGTTTAAAAAAAAAAGTCAATCATAGCATGATGGTAATTTTGTTTAGCCTAAATGAGTGACAGTGAAAGTCATGTGACTGTGACAGGACCAGTCACATGAGAGGACCAGTCACATGGGATATGACTCACTACTAAACTGAAATTTTCTCCTGCAAGATTAATTATAGATCACACTGTGTGTTTTTTCAATTAAAACAAAATTAGGAGAGTACAGGAGAGTTCACAATGTTGGCCTTTTTTAAAATTGAAAACTATTTAGGTGTCCACATCACATTCCAAAATATTCCAACACAAAAGATTCAAAAAGATGGTTGAGTATCTACAACCCTGTGTTTAATAATGAAATAATGCGTATATATTTATAAGGCGCATGTATCCATCAGTATTGGCACTCAAGGGGCTACATCATTATTACCCTGCTCATTGGGCCAGTGAAACATCCCAAATTCCATCTCAGCTCCCTGGGGAGTATACAGCTCGTTGCTGCCATTTCGGCGCAAAGCAGCTGAAATCAACCACAATAACCATCTCTGCCCTCACAGGTACCCATATACTCCTGGATGGAGAAAAGCAATGAGTGACAAAGTGCCTTGCCCGAGGGCACATGCACCATAGCCACAGGCTGGCCTCGAACCCACAACCTGCAGAATTACCCGCAGACCATGAATTCAATGCTCCAGACCACGAGGCCACAGCACTCCACTTTTACATGAGGGTTTTTGGTAAGGTTATCCAGGCATACATGTACCGTTATGTGCAGCATTCATTTTGTAGCTCAAAATTATCTGCAACACATCAAGTTTATGCTTGTTTCTGTGCAATGGCTGGCTCATACTTCATGCGAATGTCAGTCCAAAGCGAATTCCTTGAGGTAGCGGAAAACGTCACAATGACAGTTCAATTGTTGATGTCATGAAATTCGCTTTGCTTTCGCTTTCGTGTGAAGTATGAACCAGCAAAAAATTGTGCCAATGATTTTGCTTTACCTCAAAGTCAATCGTCGTGATGTGTTTGGCAAGAACGACAGGATCTGTGTCCAAAAGTCTTTGTTTCACCTCGGCCAAAATGGTCCCCTCCAGCGGCTTGTTTTCACTGCCCATTAAAGACGTGGTGAAGTCTGACAAGTGGATGCAAGAGGGCTCTTCCATTTGAGGCAAGGGGGTGACAAGTTTCTCTGGCCGTTTATCGACGTCTTTATCCATTTCCGCTACTTTGGAGTAGTCCGTGTCCAGCACGGAGTTCCTTGTGTCTGAATGTCGTTTCTTTTCTTTCAAGTCCGGTTCGTTACCATTTTCCTCTTGGAGAGTGGGTTTTGAGTCCGACTTGTCGTGAAGCACGGAGAACCTGATCGGTAGAGGATCGTATTGGTCAATTTCACTATAAACGTGGTCTACTACAAACATGTTCGGCGGATCAAAGCCGCGATTGACAACATTGATTGTCTCTGTGAGAGATGCTACATTTCCATTGGTTATGCTCTCACCAGAAGATTTGTTCGTCCTTGACGGGGGTAGAGGGGGTGCAGTGAGGTCCTCTGAGGAGCTCGCATTGGGGGCAGGGTACACATAGTCTACCTTATCGGGAGACTCTATAATAGGTTCACTGCCTGTCCTGCCCAGTGGGCGATGTTCGCTTTTGTCGTTTAGCGGCTGCACGGCAAAACCATTCATTGGGCGATTTATGGTCGGGGAGCTCTCCGACCGTCCCAGCAAGGCAGGGTCCACCACGGAGTTGCGCATGATGGCCGGCTGGCTTCCCGACCGCTGTCGGAAGTTGTCCTGCCCCAGCGCCAAGCGAGGAGTCACGACCCTCCTGGGCAACACCCCGTACGTGTAGGCGCTGGCCTGGGACCTGTTGATGGCAGCGTACTTGCTGTCGATGAAGCTCAGCGGGACGGAGCGGTTGACGGGCCGCTGGATGACGGCAGCGGAAGTCTGCGAGATGGGACGCGCATTTCCGATGTAGAACCGAATCAGCGACGGGATGGAGTCAAAGCACTCCCGCTCGAATTGGTACTGGATGGAGGCGTACGGCGTGTCGGCCTGAAGAACCACCCTATTGATGACAAAGTGCATGGGTGAGTTCCTCCAGCACACAGACAGGACATAATTCCCTGGCTGGGAGATGGAATCCCGCACCAGGAAGTCGCCGTTTGACATGAGGAGCTTCTCCACTTTGTCGCGGCTGATGCCGCCGTGGAACCAGGCATGGCTCCGGATGTCATTGTTGGGCAGTTTCAGTTCTGCTTCCAGTTCTTTGCGAAGGTCCTCGGGCGAGGTGTCTTGATAATCCATTTTGAATGTCTTGGGAGATGGCGGCAACTGTAGAAACACAAATTGAGAACAATCAACACATCTTTACTATGGCATAGCATATAACCACCACACAAAATGTTCTATGAAAGATTTTTTTTAAACAGCTGGCCAAACAATTACCCTGACGTGTTTATTAGTAAGAACTAATCAAGGACAGCGGTCTCAGTTTCTTGTCTGTATTAAAGAACAGTTTAAATTGATCAACCAACCAAATAATGGGATTGAACTTCAATGTTCACAGGACACCTGTTCCAATAGAGTAGTAGTCAGGGTGAGTCAAAAAAAGCGAAACCCAAATGTCGGGACCATTGTTTTAGTGAAGTTCTGCATGCAGCACTTTCAAAATCTAGGATATGAAAGCCCAGTCCATAAGCTTTCTTTTGATAATTGCTACAAACTTTTTTTAATTGTCTTTAATTTGGGTCCAGATCATTCTGACTCACCCTGTAAGTTCAGCTATGGGGGAAATCTTTCGTAAATGCCTTAAAAAAATTTAACTTACCTCTGGTGTTACCCCTTCAGGGATTGTGCTGAAAAAAGAAAAGAAAAACACAACTTTTTTAGTGCATTGATTGATTGAAAATACACGATTTTCTTTTATAAACAAGTTTCTTAATTCGGTCAGAGTACAAAAATAGTCAACTTACTGTTGGAAATTTGACAGATTTTGGGATTACCAAACTATTCAGGTGATGATGTCTCTCATTTAGTATATAACAAACTTCATAATGTAAAACGTGAAACTCACCCACACTGAAATATAACTCCACAGAAAATTCCTGGTAAAAGTGCTTAACCCACAGACTAACTCACTTCTCTGAAAGTCAATACCTGACTTTCTCAATACAATTCCATAAAAAAATCACAAATACTATAAATTCCACAGCAATGCACAGCGATCCGTCATGTTCATCACACATCAACGGTTGTATTGTCCTCAACGGGCTGATTCACAGGCATATATCACAGAGGCTGGCCCGGAACAATTGCAACGACTGACCGGAACACCCACAGAATATTATCACGCATGAAACAGCCTTGACAATCATCAAAACAACACGACCTAGAATATTTTACACTGTACGATATAAGCCTACTACCGTTCCATTATCAATAAAATTGGTTGCGTCTGTGGTTGGTTACAAACTTTTGCTTCTGGAAATCGGAACTCGTTCACTTCCTGCTAGTCCTATGTGCGTTACAAGGCTGTTGCCAAGTGCATGGACGGTGTTAGTCCTTGAATGAATGGAATCTGGATAATTCTAGATATATATGACAATTACTCAGTAAGACTTCCTGTACACGTGTGTGTGGTCTCTTATTCCGGAGCCTTTCCTGCTAACTGCACATGTTAGTTCGCATGTACGTAAAATATTATGAAAAAATTATAAGGCAGGAGTTGATTTCTTTAACCCTAACCCCTTGGGTATCTTTACTAGAAAGTATCATGAATCCGCCAAAATCCCGCTATTGTGTCACGTACAAAAATGTTGGTGTTGGTGACTGCTCAGAAGAATGGAGGTATCCTGAATCCATCAAAATCCTGCAGTACTGCTAGGCTTACAATCCGCAATCCAACAAAATCACCCTGTTTTCAATATCCTGAATCCACCGAAATACTCCAAAACAGGGGTATGGATTTTGATGGATTCTGGGTGGTTAGGGTTAATAACAAAGATTGACCGATGCATGAAGGCAACACAAATCACTTAAAACTCCTGCTGTTTAAGCAGTCACAGACAGTCAAATTTCCATCCACTTCCCCTGCTATACTTTTAACACAGGCTAGTCACCAGCAGTCAGATCATACATGTAACGGAACATGTATGTCAAACAAGCACTGTGGCTAGTCAAACTCAGTCAACTGATCATGAACAGACAAAGCAGACAAGTTAACAGTCAAAGCAAAGCTGTATCAAGTTACATGAGCAGTCACGGCCAGTCAATCTTGCTTTATGTAGGGTGCGAGCTCTTAAAATAACTGTTGAAAACAGTCACTTGATTGATTTTGACTGAAAGCACAACTTGGCACAGAATGTATGTTTACATAGGAGGGTTAATTGTATTGGAAATACATATAAGTTTACAACTTGTTTGAAGAATTTCACACATAGAAAACAAACACACATGCCTTTTTTTAAAGACAGGACAGCTTACTTGCTATTCCAAAATGACATTCCAGTCTGTTCCTAAGAAGAAATGCATACAAGTTCATACAAACGGACCCGGTACATGTCAACTCCAAATAACTAATGAGAATATGTACTTCAAATAAGACCAACCACATTTATTTTTGAAGCAAAAACAGCATGTACACTGTATGTATATCACACCAAATCCTTCATCCGAGAAACAGAAAATTTGCTTCACTTTACAAAAGTTTTACAGCCAAAAAAGTTAAATTACCCAACAACACCAAAAAAGATAAAAAAAACTGGACTGCCAAAAAAAGGAAAAAGGAAGAGGATTTCCTACCACCTACCGGTACAAATGTATACGTACGCAATTCAATTCTGCAGAACAACCCGTTGAAATTCAGCAACTACATGTACCAACACCTTCCTCCAAGAAAACAAAGTTATCAGACCACAAATCCCCACCCAAACACTGACAGTGAAACTCAACCTAAACTATTACTGCCAATTTATGATCTGGCTTCGGAGTATACCCCTTGCTGGGGTAACCATGACCTCCAAATACCTCTGCGTATTTCATCCCTACTTCATAATGGTACCTGCCAAAATCCTGCCTACATAAAAAAGTTACAGTGTCCACACAAATACCATTGTTGAGGACAAATGGGACGACAAACTTTTGGGTTGTTCCATTTTGGACTGTGGGGGTGTTTTGAGATGGGGATTGCCTAACATGCTGTGAGTCATGCCATAGGGATGCTGTGGGAAGCTGACACTTTTGTTGACTTCAACAATCCATACTTTTTGCAAAAATAAATGCAATGTGTAGACTCTCCACCTTTGACTAGTAACCCACATGTACTGGGTGTTATTGAATAAACCTGTGTCTGATCCTGGGATAAAATAATAAAAAGACCAGACAAAAGATCCAAACAGCCCCAAACATTTTCTTTACAATACGGAAGCAGAATATTTCTTCAGTTTGTGTGTTAAAAAAAGGAATTTTTCAATTCCATATGACCAAGAATACAATTGATATTTTAAACACATAAAAACACGCAAATGTTTGGTTTACATACGCTATGCGGACATTCCTTTGTTTTTGTGTAGTTAAGAAAACTCGGTACAAAAAATAACTTTAACTGTGAAAACTCTTTCAACCCAATTTTTTTTTCTATGATTCCCTTTAGTGTTTCTCTTCATTTTGCCACAGATAAACCTAACCCAAAAATGCCTCTAAACCTGTTTTCCAGAGAGGGCAAAACGTTATGTGGACACGGCTTAGTCCACATAACGTCAACACAACCTGCATTATGTGGACATCTTTTGTTCACAAGTCCACATAGTGAATGTAAGACAAACTCATTCCTGACAGCACTGAATAATTTGTGCACACTTCGCGCTAATTTTGCACGATGCAGTATGCGCACAGTGTGTCCCGCCTACGGGGCTCTCGAAAGTGGTCAAAAAGCGCCCTCTCTTGTTCATGCACTGCGCACTTGCACGGAGCCCATATATGCACATTTATGTGTAACTGCAAGACATAGACAAGTCATTCGGATACTGCCTTGATTCAACCCAGTTTCATTTCTCACCTGTAACGGAAAGAAGCCTTTGTGGATGGAGACGGAACCGGTGAACTGTACGGGGAACCAGCTATGGAAGATCTCTGTCTTGACGAAGTGAGTGAGCTCATCAGTGGGCTTCCTGCAAAACAAGACATCATAGAAGCTATATTGCTGTCTGATAATAATTTATTCATTTATTCATCCATTCATATACAGATTGTTTATTTACAACGGTAAAAAAAATGAGACTAAACAGGGATTCCAGCAATTTATGAAAACAAAATTCCCTGAGTCTTCCCTGAGATCTCCCCCGAGAAGTTTCCGAAATTGCATGAGAAATATTTTCACTAATATAGTAATAACAAGGTTGCTACCGGTAGGAATTCAAAATGTAGTATACACGGCCAATTGTTTAATTGGCTGGAGAGGTGTGTGTTATTCCCTCTGAATAAACACTAAAACACCACCACAGCCAGTTTGTCAGTGGACATACACGTAACTTGGACACGACTTGGACACTTGGCACCAGACGCACATACACCAAACTGGTGAAAACCTTTCCCTTCTGGGTCACTGTTTCCCCCGAGTTTTGGTGTTTTTCCCACATTCCCCGAGTTTTTCCTGACTAGAATTAGAAAAATGGAAACTCGTTTTCAATTTTTTCCCCTGATTTCCAGAGTGACTGGGACCCCTGCCAAAGTTTTTATCAAGATGTTGTAAACGACACAATTTTTTTGAAGTGTTGGTCTTCTTTTGAAGCTGGGAATATAACATATTCTTCTTGTTTTTGCGAAGGAACTACAGCCAATGCAATATAGCATTGTGGCTAACCACAAGTAATTGAGGTTTTAATGTAATGCCCTATCATCTTTTCCTATACTTATAAACACAGCAGGTATTACCGGCGGATACTGACTTGGGTTACATGAATTGAATTTCATGAGCAGATGTGTATGGTTATGGTATAAAGAGCTGCTGGAAACAATTTTTGGGGGAGAAGTGGCAAATAATTCAGTATACATGTACATGGACTGTGTGATATGAAACCCATGTCAAATGGAAAAACAATTAAGGTTCTGGTAACTTAATTTTGCACTGTGTGTAATGTATGCCAACATACTCATACATTGTACATGCATCACCAAAAAATATGCTGAAGCACTTACTAGCCATTAGGCCAAAAAAAAAAAAAAGTCGGTCGATTTTAATCATGCGCGTCAACCTTTTTTTTTCACAAAATGTTCCGCGGTAGCTCCAACAGCGCCCTCTATTGCCACACCTCCTCAAATATTTTTTTACCAAAGAGCACCAAGGAATGGCAAATTGCACCAAGGCAAATTATGGAGGACACCAATGTACATGAAGACACCAAAAAAAGCAAAATAGTACCCCACCTTGTCTGTACAATCCAAGCTTGAAAAAAAAAAAAAAAGCCGCGTCGCCGCATCAATTCCGGAACTTTTGTCTGACCAGAGACCGAGTATTTTTTTTTTGGCCTAAAACAAAAAAAATATATTTTTGACACCCAAATACCGCAGACCTCGAGGGTAAATAAATAACATTTAATTATAAAACAGATGTCATTTTTCAATGTGAACTGATCTGCAACATGTATCACCAACAAATTATGCTGTAGTACTTTCTAGCCATATGAACGAAAATTTATATTTTTGACACCCCATGTGACCTTGTATTTAATTATAAAACAGATGTCATTCTTCAATGTGAACTGATCTGCAGCCAATGATGAACCCCATCACCAGTAGCCTGACATTCCTTAATCACCCGCATTCTTTAAATTCAAAAGCTAAAGGAACATGTAATATGTACCCAAGACACTTTATTGTGCCACACATACTCAAGGATGTGTCCACACAGTGACACAACACAGTCACTCCGGCAGCATCAATGCTGCTCATCAATTAGATGATGCTATTCCAGGAATGACAAGTCAAAGAAAACACAATCCCTCAGGGGAACCTTTGCTCTGTAGTCTTCTGCATGTACAATGTGCATGTGTGTCCTTTCTTTTTCTATGATGTATACAAGTTTGCTGTGGATTGCTGAAGTACATGTATAGGCAGTATGTAGGACGGTAAATTGTATTAAAGGGAATATACAACATTTGCAAACATCGAAAAATAAAACTACCAAGTTTTTAAGAAATACCTTACTAGGATGTTGGTAAATGAGAGTCTAAAGCATCCTGTAAAATTAGGGCACGTGGTGTGAAGTCATTTTCAAGAAAATGGTATTTTTGTATACATTTCCAACGGTGGTCGGCCGACCAGCGTTGGAAAAACCTAACTATATTTCAACTTCTGCTCCAACTTGAATTTACCTTTTTTCAGTACAAATTTTGTTTGGTATTGGTTACATGTTCATGGACGGGTGCAGGCCAGCTAGACTGGTTCCCTTACCTTACAATTTTCTGGCAACTATAAATTGATCCATTTCATCTTTAGTGGAGTCAGGGAACCAGACTACTTGAACAATTTTGTTTTTCCTGGTTTTTCCAGCATTTTCGAACATAAAACTTCAAACATGTCAGTGTAACAATATTTGATCTATTATACTAACCCCTCAAATAGTCCATTTCTGAAAATTACAGCAAAAGCCAATGATGTACATGTACATTCCCTTTAAAGGGAATGTACATTCCCTTTAAAGGGAATGTACAACATTTGCTTTTGCTGCAATTTTCAGAAATAAATGGATTTGGAGGATTAGTATGTTATGGCAAATATTGTTTAACTGAGTTGTTTCACGTTTTGGGCTTGTAGATGCTGGAAAAACCAAGAAAACCAATCATGCTCTTGTAGTCTGGTTCCCTGACCCCACTTAAGATGAAACGGAGCAATTTATAGACTTTGGGGAATTGTAAGGTCAGAGAATCAGTCTAACAGGCTTGTACTCCTTCACAGGTGTGTAATCAATTGCAAAGAAAATGTGGAATAACTGAATACGAAAAATTAAGAACAGCTTTTGAAAAAAGCGAGTTTTCTCCAACGCTGGTCGGCCGACCAGTGTTTGAAAAACACAGTTTTTCTTGAAAATGTCAGCACACCAGGAGCCACGATTTTACAGGGTGCTTTAGAATGTCATTCCCTAACAATTCAGTAAGGTATATCGTGTTAATTTGATCATTTCGTTTTTTGATGTTTGCAAATGTTGTATCTTCCCTTTAAGTATACATGACATGAATATACATGATCTTTGCATGAGGAACTTGCACATCAATATTATAGCCAGTTCAGTATTTCAACGGCGCATGCGTGCGCACAACAATATGGGTCACAGGTAAATCGAACGCTCATCAAAGGCAATCGAACGCTCTTCAAAGGCGCATCAACAACTTTTGAGCAGCTTTCCATCTTGATTCTCTGTCCATGTTATCATGGTTATTCTAGAAATGGCTATACTTTCCTAGTTTTCACAAGGGATGCCTGATGGAAAACAGATAGTAACACCTATTTTTAAGGCCTGCTGCATGAAGATGTGTGGAATTTCTAGGGCCAATGGACGACACAGTTTTGAAATTTCTCAGTGAATTGCTCCAGGGATAAACGTGGAATTTTGGTGACCTGAAAATATTGATGGTGTACTTCTTCAATTTGGCATTTATGCACACTAATGGAGCAATTATTCACTCCTCTGAAATGCTCCTATCAATTTTGGCAAGTGTATGCGAATTTAAGGGATAGGGTTTATGATATTCAGCAAAATATAAAGCAGACATTACAACATCCAATGTAAATGCGCCGTGTCTCCACCGAAACCTTGTTACAGTATAGGTTCTGATTGTATGACGTCAAATTACCACGAGACCATCAGGTTTCCCCACTGATCTCTATATAAAGACAGGATAGCGGATAAAGAGCCGCACAATGAATGAATTTGACGCCATATTGGTGAGACCGGTGAGACCGGCTGGTGATCTACAAAGGACAAGTTGCCGTCTTTATAGACAGCATGATTACTTTTGTAACATCGCGGTTCACTAAACTCATATTCTGACCACCACCACTGACCAAGGTTTACAATTTTTCCAACGTCGTGGTTTACTTTTTTAATGCCGCAGTTCACTTTTTCGGCGTTTTGGAAATAATAATCACTACGGAAATGTGTCCTTTTTAGAACATCATATTATGTGTACGTGAGCAAAATGCGCATCAACTGTTGATACAACGCGCGCTGTATATACGCGCAGAACGTTCGTATTATACGCGGCCATCTTCGTGAGACCGGGGGCGAATTGGTCAATATACAAAGTCTACTGTGTGAATGGTGTATGGATATCCGCTATCCAGTCTATATAGAGATCAGTGGGTTTCCCCAATGATCGGCCACCATTGCAGTAGGCAAGCGTTTGGTTAGCAAATACGCCATGCGTTGTAAACTGGACAGTAGGGCTTATTTCACAAAAAATAACTGCAAATTCTTTATCAAATGTCATAATGGTCAGTGCTACATGTACCTATTGTGCGGTTGTCATAATCATGCCGACCAAGCACTGGGTGTTGGCTCCGCATTTTTCTCACAGTTTTTGCCATCCATCACAGATTTGATGGCTTGCCTACTACAGGTACATGTACCTACTGCGTGGTACGCTACACGATCTTAGCCTACTACGATGGCGACGCTGACTTTCCGGTAGCCAGATATAGGCCGGGTTATGAGAGAGCCCTATTGGCCAGTCAGGACCCGAGGCCTACATGTACATTATTTCATGCAGCTGCTACGCCAAGAAAATATATGGTTTGTAAATAAAAATGGCCGTGTCCGAAATTTACTTGGTTACGGCTTGAATTACACACGTGTCTATGGTAGCGGCTGCAGCCACTTGTGTGTAATTTCAAGCCATAGTCAAGTAATTCAAACACGGCCCAAGTTGCCAAACGAAATGTCACGAGGAGTGAATTGCCTGTAACTGGTTTTTCACATAGTCTTGCCACAAGCACGTCAAATTTTTTTAAAAGGGTTTCTTCTCAGCCTCTCCATGACATTATGCCTTGATGGTCTGTAGCCTACAGTGGCAACGAACCTGTGACACTCAAGGACTTTAGTTTTCCCTGACGTAAACCAGGTAGTTTGCCAGCCAAGCTAACTCAACATATAAATCTTCTTGGCTGCTCTGTGAAAGCATCTCCTCCGTGGCAAAAGTGGACTCAGTTAGCGGTCATAAAAACAGCATGTATGAATGGTCTCACTTGACCTAGTAAATATAGTTCGAGTATCAGTAATGTGCGCAGAGCCACGGTCGAATGTGTGATACATCCTAACATGCACATTTTTGTGCGACCCCGCGTGCCAGCCAATCGGAGTCGACTTTAAAACCTGTGACATTTTTTGATCAGATGTCGACTAAGCTGTTGATTGGTCAATTTGGATGCCACGTTTTTGTAATACAACAAGGGGTTACTGAAGACCCGATATAGAAGGCGCCAGCTGAATGGTTAGAATCTCGAGGTCAAGACGCAGTCTTAATTTGCATAATTAATCACCGAATCTGCTCGCATATCATAGACCCTTGCTGTGCAAGGGGATATTCAATAGACTACAGCCCTGTCCGCACTGGACTTTTTTTGGTCAAACTAACCGAGACTATGGGTACTTTTCCCATTTTAAGTCCAGTGCGGACAGCCTAGGACGTTTTCCTCTCGGTTACTTTTCCTGAGTCCAGCAGTTACTTTTACTGGCCAACTGCTGCCCAGGAAAACTTCCCACGCGCCCAGGAAAACTGACCAGGTCACTTTTCCTGAGACGATAAGTCCAGTGCGGACAGTGCGAGTCGGTAAAAGCGGCTCAGGAAAGCGTACTTCTGGCCCGAGCGCCCTGTTATGCATACAGAGTCCGCACGAACCTGCACGTGCAGTGGCCAAACATTTTGTAGAAACACGCTGCGGTGTATCATCAAGTCCGAGCGGTAAAATCTCGTTAAAATATATATTTCAACGGACAAATACATACACAGAGAAGAGAGATCACGTTCTGAGAATTAATTTGCGGAAATTCTCTTTCTCCACCGATGTATGTTATTTTCTACGATCCAAATTCGTCCTGATACGCTACTGTAGTCATGCACGGCCGGAACATCATGGTCCGGTACCGTACGTAGGCCGTAGTCACTGGTTCCTGGGCCACATCATAGCTTCGATTCTGTAAGCATGCCATGGGTACCAACGAATACTGATGGCACTGCTGCCGCACGGAACATTGTACAGCGGCATGGCTTTGACGACGTGCATCACAAATGCGTCAGAATTATAGGCCTTTTCGTCAAGATTTAGCGTGTCATGATGAAATATATATCGTGTAAACGATTATGTTGTGCATGCAAATGGCGTGTGTAATATTACTGTGCGTATCGGCGGCTGAAAATGTGATCGGCAATTTGTTTTCTGTGTACGGTGAGTAATTATACTGACACTGTGACAGCTCGGTTACTTCTCCCACGCGGTCTGGGTAAATTTTCCCGTGTCGAAAGTCCAAGTGCGGACAGTGGTCACATTTGACCATTTCTCATTTTACCATCGTCTCGGTAAAACCTTCCATAAAAAAAGTCCAGTGCGGACAAGGCTTAAGTAAGTACATGCACAGAGGCGACTAACCTGCAAAATGCTTGAATTTCTCCCAGATGTAGACCAGGTTGGATGCCAGTCAATCCCAAATAATGCAAAACATATCAATCTGCTTGGTATAGCTCCACGAAAGTGGACCAACTTTGTTCCGTCTTAAATATTGGTCTTATGGTCTCTGATTGTGCACAGAGGGATACTAACCTGCAATGCTGGAGCGCTTGAGCTTCTCCCTGATGTAGACCAGGTTGGACGCCAGCCGGGCCCGGTGTGCTGAGTTGCTCACCCCCAACTCAGAGATGTGTCTCTCAGACAGGTGTAACAGATTCTGTTGGGAGAAGAAAGTGGAGAAATTCAATAACTCCTAAATTTGTCTCGCTTTGATGGATGCACGAATAACACATGTTGTTGACGTTTCTCTTTTTCTGACCCCATGCAGTGCATTTTGCCTGGACTTCAAAACAGGGGGCCGATTCGCTTACAACTGAAAAGTTGGGTGTCCCACTTAGTCCCCAAAGCATATTTACAGGTGAACGACAAATAAATTACCAGCACTGTTGGTATGATATGTCAAAAATGTGAACAATGAGGCCAAGATTCACAAACATAAGAGATAAAGAGCCCTGGCCGGGTCAGTGTTTCTGGTATTTTAAACATAAGGCGAAGTAAAAAAAAAAACATGTTTAGCGTCCCCGCCCGCTTCCTTTTTAGAGGCCGCCTCCTTTTTTTTTTTTTTTTTTTTAAAGACAAAAATTGATAAATTTTAACGATCTCTGACGAAAGAAATCATATTTTTAGACTTTTATACCGTGTATAAAGCTGTGGAAATAGTCAATGAGTCCAAGTGGCGGCCATTTTGAAAAAAGCTGGTAACCATCTTGAAAAATAGCCCGGCCGCGTTGTCTTGAAAAATGTGTCTGGCGGCCATTTTGAAAAGAAAAAAAAAAAAAAAGGGCCTCCTCCTTCCTTTTTGTCAAAGAGGCAGGACGCTAAACATGTTTTTTTTTTTTTTTGCCTAAGATATCAATGTTCCCGAGATTTCAGTTTATAAATGTTTTCAAGTCTGAAAAAAAGGATTCATCGTTCACATTGCAGAAATTTGTCACAAACAAAAATGTTTCAGATATTCTTGGGAAACCAGTAGCTAGAGTGTCCAGACTCCAGAATCAGAACTAGTTGTTTGAAAGACTCCCACATACTTAGATCAATCTGGCTTAAAAACAAAAACGATTTTGAACTTATTACTAAGGAGAGGTCCACTTTAAATGGCACCGCACACCGGTGGTCCTTCTGGCTCAGAGAAAAATTCTGCTCGCCTCACTTTTACAACGGGTGGTTAATTCACATCGCAGTTAAAGGGAAGATACAACATTTGCAAACATCAAAAAAAGAAATGATCCAATTATCATGAAATATCTACTGGATTGTTAGGGAATGATAGTCCAAAGCATCCTGTAAAATCATGGCTCCTGGTGTGCTGACATTTTCAAGAAAAACTGTAACGCTGGTCGGCCGACCAGCGTTGGAGAAAAGTGTTTTTTTCCCTTCAAAAAGTGCTCCTAGTTTTTCGTATTTAGTTCGTCTGCATTTTCTTTGCAATTGATTACACACCTGTGGAGACTACAAGCCTGCTAGACTGATTCTCTGATATTACAATTTTCCCAAAGTCTATAAATTGCTCCATTTCATCTTAAGTGGGGTCAGGGAACCAGACTACAAGAATATGATTGGTTTTCTTGGCTTTTCCAGCATCTACGAACCCAAAACTTGAAACAAGTCAGTGCAACAATATTTGCTATAACATACTAATCCTCCAAAGTCCATTTATTTCTGAAAATTGCAGCAAGAGCAAATGTTGTACATTCTCTTTAAATGGCACCGCACACCGGTGGTCCGTCTGGCTCAGAGAAAAATTCTGCCCGCCTCACTTTTACAACGGGTGGTTAATTCACATCACAAGGTTCATCACCTACCCATATATCAGTCACACTCCAGCACATCTACACTGACATACATGTACATGTATACATTTACATTACATAAAGCAGGCCAATAAATCCATCAAATAGAAATTCAAAAAGAAATTCTTACACATTTACAGCAACTCCTGAAAACAAATCCGTCACTCTCTGGATAATATGGCCAATAGAATTTCTGTTTCCCACAAGAAACAATCTTGCATCCAAACTCTTTAGAGTTTTACTACGCACTGACGGCCACATGGAATGATGTTATAGAATAACACCAGTACCAAACACTGTAGGGAAGGGGGTTTCATTCAAAGGGGATGTTTCACAATGGATTAACAATAGACTGGTCAAACACTTCATGGGGGATTCTTCTGCTAAACTAAACATGCTTTGACCAGTCACATAATGGCCACATCATTATAAAGGCTGGTCATTCATTCCCTGTGGACTTTGTGTACACTCTGCCATGTTCTGGTGTGTAGAGAAAGGATTTTATGGTTGTGACTGTTAGTCATAATCCAGTCAATGAGATATAATTTACAATGTACAATGGCCCGAGCAACAGTTATAGGCCCAACTAGTGTCCACACATGATTCATTCTTACATAGAAAAAGTGCACAAAGTGATGCAATCGAGTATTCAATTACGGTACATAAGAATTAGTTCGATGTTCAGATCTTCAGTTAAAGGTACATGTATATAATTTTTATACATGTACAACATTTGCAAACATTTAAAAAGTACTTAATTGTTATAAAATTCCTCACTTGACTGTAAGTGAATAATAGTCTTAACCATCCTGAGAAATAATGGCACCTGGTGTGCTGTCATTTTCAAGAAAAGTGGAATTTTTGTATCAATTTCCAACAATGGTCGGCTGACCAGCGTTGGAAATTGATACACTACTGCCCCCAATTTACCAAATTTACCAATTGGTAATACAAATCCATGAACAGGTGCAAACCAGCTAGTCTAGTTCCCTGACCTGATAATTCAGTCTATAATTCCGTCTATAAATATTGATACATTTCGTCTGAAGTAGGGAACCAAACTACAAGAACAGCATTATTTTCTCTGGGTTTTTCTAGCATCCATAAACACAAAACTTTAAACAGGTCAGTGTAACAATATTTGTTATAAAATACTAACCCTCAATCCATCCATTTCTGAAAATTACAAAAAAAGAAGCACTTGTTGCATGCTACATTTAATGTGTAAAGTCTGACCACATTTGCCAATAAAAGCTGCTGAGGTATAAATATTCCGAAGTGCCCCCCCCCCCAAAAACAATTAAAAGAGAGAAACTCAAATGATTACCTCGACGGTTTGGTAATGCTGGAACAAGGGAATGTACTCCTCCAGCTCCAAGGCACTGAGCCAATTCTCAATGGTCAGATGGAAGGCCATCCTGTCTGCTGATTGGCCTGTATAAATAGAAACAAATAAGAAATACAGGGGATTGGTCTATCTGTGAACATTCAGAATTGAACATTGTTGCTGATTGGCTGATGAATGTTGTAACAAAGACCCTGTAGATTAGTGTATTATTTACCAGTTAGGCCAAAAAAAAAAATACTCGGTCTCTGGTCAGCGCGCGTGTCGATTTTAATCATGCGCGTCAACCTTTTTTTTTTCTTCAAATTAACACGGAAGCTACAACAGCTCAAATTTTTGTACCAAGGAGCACCAAGGAATGGGGAAATTGCACCAAGGCAAATGATAAAGGGCACCAAGGCAAATTATGGAGGACACCAATGTATAATGAGGACACAAAAAAGCAAAATACCGTAGTACCCACCTTGTCTGTACAATACAAGCTTGGAAACAAAAAAAGCCACCAAAAAAACAAAAAAAACCCGCGTCACCGCATCAATTCCGGAACTTCGGTCTGACCAGAGACCGACTATTTTTTATTTTTGACCTTAGTCAGCTACTAATCCATATATGCATCTACATGTACATGGAAAAATCTTTTTCTATCTAAATCCAGTTCCAACCTACGATTTGCAACACAGATCTTCTCATAGGGCCAACAGTTTTTACATGTACCTGAAAAAGAAAATTATCCTAGAGTTTTATTACACTGTTGCACACTCAATGATTGTTCATAAATATGTCCATGTCTTAGGCCCATCCTTCCCTTAGAATGAAGTTTTTACCTTTGGCTACATTCACCCATGCTAAATACATCTTCCATACTGGGAGAAAAATAAAACGGAGTAAAAAAAAGCCACTGGGCCTGGACTGAAATGGCCTGATGAGGGCGCTATTTCATTGCTTCATAAAACTTTTGAGAACTAGCCAAATGCACACTGAACCAGTGCCAAAAGATCCCAACTATTGATTAACACTGCACTGAACACCACACTTAAAAAGGTACATTCCGGATCGGAGCATTTTTTCCCCAATTACACATGTATAACAGAATATTTTAAATGCAAAATACATATTTTGAATTGATCAGAAAATGCAAATCCTTAAAAAAAAAAAACTTTGCATAAGAAAATAATGAAAATGAAACCATTAATTTGCATTAAATACAGATCTATGTATACACCTAAAGAATACCACCAAATGATTTCAGTAATGTTTCAGATCAGTGAACATGAGCGGCCATGGACCCCCCCCCCTCCCTCCCCCCTCCCCCCTCATTCATGTGCATACACAAATATTGAGCTCCACATGGCACCGGGCAAATATGAATGCCAGCTTCGTTATTTGAAATTGTAATGTAAATTGCATTCAAAGATGTAATTTGATAGCAGACATTTGAGAAAAAAACTTCCTCGGGCAGTGAACTTTAGTTAAATGTCAATCAATACTTGTGAATGCAGGTAGGAGAAAAACATCCATTTTGCCGGAGGACAGTGTGTTCATAATTATTAGTGCATTGGTATCCCTGTGGGGGAATAAACCAGCCCACATATTCTATAGTCCCTGTGATTTGTATGCACTATGCATTACTGAGGTCCTGAAATCCCCACTGAATAAAATTTACCATTTTGACTAAAGGACGGAAGGGCTTGTTCCTATGTCGTCATTTTCGAACGATTAAGTAACTTTTCATCAAAAAGCCTTATCAGATTAAAATAGGTTACTGTATACAGAAAGTCCTGTATTTATATCTCAGTTTGGCATAATTGAAACTTAGATGAAGAGGTGGATTTTTCTGGTTGAAATTTTAAATTAAAAGAACAGTTAGGCCTATGTGTACATGTAGATTGCTGTGAATTTGTGAAAATACAATGAAATATTGATGTCTACTATTCTGATCCCAACACTGGAAGAAATTAGGAAGGGTACAGTTTTTAAAAAACCGATAATTCCCTCTACTTTTTGATGCAAAAATCCTTTTGAATTACTGTCAAAACAAGTCAGGTGTGTTTACAAACACAAATGCCCCGCAACCGTGACTGTTTCCATGACATAACACCACTCTAACATCAACTTACATGTACCTTGGTCAAATGGAACGTTCATTGACAGCATTAGTGTCTTCTGTAGGTTTTATATGAATTAATCCCTAATCCCTATGATCTCAGAATAAATACAAGATTTCTATTGTTTTAGCCACTGTGACCTTGACCCTTGACCTTTCGACCCCCAATGCGATAGGCTTCTTAGGATTGCCAAGGACAATCCACAAACCAAATTGGAAATTCATATGTAAAGTATTTCTCAAGTTATCGCGCTGACAAAATTTCTATTGTTTCAGCCACTGTGACCTTGACCCTTGACCTTTTGGCCCCAAATGCAAAAGGCTTCTTAGAATTGCCAAGGACAATCCACAAACCAAATTTGAAGTTCACATGTAAAGTATTTCTCAAGTTATCGCGCTGACAAAATTTCTATTGTTTCAGCCACTGTGACCTTGACCCTTGACCTTTCGGCCCCAAATGCAAAAGGCTTCTTAGGATTACCAAGGACAATCCACAAACCAAATTTGAAGTTCATATGTAAAGTATTTCTCAAGTTATCGCGCTGACAAGATTTGTCCGGACACACACACCCACACACACAGTCGTTTTTTGCTATGCTTCCGAGGATTGGCTTTGTGTTTTCCTTTGTCCCTGTAATATAACACTCTCCCATAGACTAAGCACACAAACCTGCGTTCGAGGACAATAGGCACCTTCCTTCGAGGATCAATGGCCCCTTTGTGCTCCTTTTGTTGTCTGTCCTCAGGCGTAATGCCATGCAGGAACACCCACCCACACACCCAGACTTGTTTCACATACCTAGTGTGGACTTTCCTTTCTTTTCGTGTAGTTAAGGAACACCAGTGGAAAAACTCATTTTTCTCAAACTGTGAAAACTCTTACAACCCAATTTTTTTTCAATGATTCCCTTTAGTGTTTCTCTTCATTCTGCTACAGATAAACCTAACCCAAAAATGCCTCTAAACCTGTTTTCCAGAAATGGGGAAACACTGTGTGGACGTGGGCAAGTCCACACTTCGTCGCTGCTACCTACATTATGTGGACGTCTTTTGTTCGGAAGTCCACACTGCGTATGTAAGACAAGCTCACCCACCCACCCACCCACCCACCCACCCACCCACCCACCCACGGAAGGACAAGGCGGAAACAGTATGCCCCTTCGGCTTCGCCGCGGGGCATAATAAAACTAAAATATGATGGCATAAAATATTTATAGGTAAACAGTCCTTCTGATTGGAGGCGTGCGATCACACCCCCACACCATCGCACACCTACTGTAAAAGCTTCCTGAGAAGTGTGAATACATGTAATTGCACGCCTGAATTTCCCTGGACCACAGATCACACACCTAGAAAACCACACACCTAGAAAAAACACACACCTAGAAAAATTCAGGTGTGCCTTTTTCCACACGCCTGTGATTTTCAAATCAGAAGGACTGGGTAAAATGCAAAGATATTCCTGGGTTTCTCCAAGTGTTGAACTGTTTTAAAGCTTCAATGTACAATCTTAAACTTTCACAATACAGTCAAGTAATGAGTATTCTGTTGAAAAAGAAAATGGATTTCTACACTGTGACTATCTTAAAAGAGCCTACACAAATTTCTTTCTTATTGAAAACTCCTGGATTGGGCAATGATTTATGAATCTTCATGAAAAATGTATTTACATATCGCTATCAAAATCGGTATATTATTACAGGCGCAGCAAGCAAATCGCTGTAATAATATTTGGATGATTCAGTTTGCAGGCTGTCATAACATTCATCACAGCATTCCACCGAATTAGAAGCGGCTGCTCAGGCGCTGGATGCCTTGGCACATGGTCACATGCTACGCAAGTAATGTGAAAGTATGATAATGCCATGATGTGACCAAGTATTTATCAGGGGGAGGAATAAATATCATCACAAAAGCAGCCGTGAACAATTCATGAACATTCTTGGAAATATCAATGCATGCTGAAATAGGAAACTTCAAACTTAACCTGAACCCTCCTCCATCCTCCAAGATCAACCAGGCAGTTTTGGAGGAATTTGGGGGATTTGAGGTTATATGCCAAAATACTTGGTAAATACAATTCAATGATAAATAAGAGAATGAATAATGTATAAACGAGAAGTACAGAAGTGTCAGTTATAATGTCATATTGAAGGCCTACCTAAACTTGCTTTACACAATAACTTTCATTGCATTCATACTGCAAGTTTTAAAAATAAATTAAAAATATGAATGTATTTTTTCGGTAACGGAAGGACATTTTCGAAGACTGAAATATTAGAAGTCACTGAAGCGAAACAAATTACGCAAAACGTAAAAAAAAAATTCAGTCAGTTTTTCATGACCTATACTTTCTCATGACAGAAATTGATGGCATTAGTACATATTTTTGTGTGTGTATTGGTAGAATACTTTCATATCACTATTAATCACATTTTTAGGATTAAAACAGGATTATTACGTAATCCTATTTTTTGGTACCGAAATGTATCAAAAATAAAATTCCAACTTCAAATCTTGAAAATATAGACTTTTAGATTTCATTTGATGCCAAATTTGTTTAAGTCACATGCATTTGAATTTTTGGTGTCATGTCCACTTTGGTGTGGAATTGCCCCATATACCGGTATCAAGGAAGCGAGAGGGCAAAAATCTTGGTTGTTTTAGTGATATGGTATCAATTTTTTGCAGCTCTAGCTCCATGATGAGATAAAATGAATCTTAAAGTTGTTGTATTAATTTGTATTAACAGAATATTGTTGTACATGTGTATACAGAGTAACACAAAATTTGAATGATTTCAAAACATGATATTACAGGTTCAGATTTGTTTCCACAAATATGGGGGAAAAATCCAATGAAGACCAACAGTTGTACCCTCTCCGGTGATCGCATCCCAAAAGTAACAACAGTGTTGTCAAGTACTGCCATTAATCAAAGAAAACGAAAAAGAAAAAAAGCTCAGGGGAATTATTTGGACAAATA